AACGTTGAATATGGATCTTTACTCTGCAAAGATTGAAGATGTACCTTTAAACGTTGATTATGGATCTACTCCCCAAAGATTGAAAATGTACCTTTGAACGTTGAATATGGATCTTTACTCCGCAAAGATTGGAGAAGTACCTCTGAACGTTGAATATGGATCTTTACTCCGCAAAGATTGAAAATATACCTCTGAACACTGAATATGGATCATTACTCTGCAAAGATTGAAGATGTACCTTTGAACGTTGAATATGGATCTTTACTCTGCAAAGATTTAAGACGTACCTCAGAACGTTGGATATGGATCTTTACTCCGCAAAGATTGAAGACGTACCTCAGAAGGTTGGATACGAATCTTTACTCCGCAAAGATTGAAAATGTACCTTTGAACGTTGAATATGGATCATTACTCTGCAAAGATTGAAGATGTACCTCTGAACGTTGATTATGGATCTTTACTCCGCAAAGATTGAAAATGTACCTCTGAACATTGAATATGGATCTTTACTCCGCAAAGATTGAAAATATACCTCTGAACGTTGAATATGGATCTACTCCCCAAAGATTGAAAATGTACCTTTGAACGTTGAATATGGATCTTTACTCCGCAAAGATTGAAAATGTACCTCTGAACGTTGAATATGGATCTTTACTCCGCAAAGATTGGAGATGTACCTCTAAACGTTGAATACGGATCTTTACTCCGCAAAGATTGAAGATGTACCTCTGAACGTTGAATATGGATCTTTACTCCGCAAAGATTGAAAATGTACCTCCGAACGTTAGATATGAATCTTATGGGTCGCGTTCTTTTTTCTCAACGTTCGTTCTTATCCCCTATATTTGAAATGGATTTTCCCCGAGCTTCCCAGATCAGGATCTTTTGAAAATTCGGTACGACCTTGTCTAGTTTTCCGCAAAGTCTCCTAGCCCAACGGCTCGGACGATTATCCTCATATTTGGCAAACGTGGCAATTCCGCGACCGTTGCAAAACTATCCGCCTCCCGATGCGAGTTTCAAAACGTCAAGGAAGCGACGCGACGTTTCGTCATCGTGGAACCCACGTGGTAAAGAAACCACGATTCTCCCGAAATCGCTTGAAATCCCGATATTTCCGATGCGCGACGTGGCGCGATATCCGCCATCGAGCGTCGTCGTCGTCTTGACTTCTCGTCTAGATTCACCTAAAAACCCAGAGGACCGATTCGAATGGCAGTGGACGGGACTGGCTCTAACCTGAGAAGCTAACGGGGCTTTCCTGCGAGCCGGCCATATTCTCTTGCCGTTACGTTACGTTCTCGCCGAGGGGCGGCCATTGTCTCGTATTAGCAATGGCGCGGCCTCGGGGACTCGGTACTTTCCTCTCGCGAAACTGCACGGAGGGGCTGGGAGGCCTCGGAAGAAAAACGGACGGCTATTTCATACGACAGAGAGCGGGAAAGATGCATCGGGCCAAAAGTCCGTTTCCGATATCGTCCTGGCGCTAAAATGTTTCGTTTGGGAGATGAGTCAGTAGCCTACGTTTCGATGGCCGAAGAGGAACGTGCAGACGCCAAGTTGAGCTCAAATGGAGATCCGACAGCCTTGGACGGTTCGAACGGGAGAACGGTCGTCCGGTCCAGGCATGGCTGTAAATTTTCCTTATCCGAATTTTGCCCAGGTAGTTCCGTCACACCTTGGACGAACCTCGCCTTTCTTTGATCCGAGCCTCCGCGTTTCCAAGGTGGCACGTGCCATTAGACGCAGAAACGAACAAGTATTTTCGAGGTGTAACGTCTAATTTCCATTAGTAAGAATTGTTTTACTTAAGCTGTTGGACGACGCGCCCAAATCCCGCTGTTAGGTTCTTATCAGAGTCTTCCGTTTTTGCGCTCAATTAACTAAAACTTATTTATTGTCCAAATTTCTGACGTCTACGGTGTAATGTCCGCCCTATTTTCCATTAGTAAGAATCGTTTTATTTAAGCTGTTGAACGACGCGCCTAAATCCCGCTCTTAGGTCCTTATCAGAGTCTTCCGTTTTTGCGTTCAGTTAACTAAAACTGATTTATTGTCCAAATTTCTGACGTCCATGGTGTAATGTCCGTCCTATTTCCCATTAGTAAGAATCATTTTATTTAAGCTGTTGGACGACACGCCTAAATCCCGTTATTAGGCGCTTATCAGTCTTCCGTTTTTCCGCTCAGTTAACTAAAACTGATTTATTGTCCTTATTTTCCATTAGTAAGAATCGTTTTATTTAAGTTGTTGGACGACGCGCCTAAATCCCGCTGTTAGGTCCTTATCAGAGTCTTCCGTTTTTGCGCTCAGTTAACTAAAATTGATTTATTGTCCAAATTTCTAACGTCAACAGTATAACGTCCGCCTTATTTTTCATTAGTAAGAATTGTTTTATTTAAGCTGTTGAACGACGCGCCTAAATCCCGCTCTTAGGTCCTTATCAGAGTCTTCCGTTTTTGCGCTCAGTTAACTAAAACTGATTTATTGTCCAAATTTCTGACGTCCATGGTGTAATGTCCGTCCTATTTACCATTAGTAAGAATCATTTTATTTAAGCTGCTGGACGACACGCCTAAATCCCGCTATTAGGCGCTTATCAGAGTCTTCCGTTTTTGCGCTCAGTTAGGTGAAACTGATTTATTGTCCAAATTTCTGACGTCCACGGAGCCTTCCGATAGATCTTCGACCGAACCAATAGTCCGCTTCTTTCCCTAGGAACTTGAAATCTTGCACTTCCTCAACGACCCTTGTTCCTAACGAATCACCAGCCTAAAGTTCCTGTCCTTTTCCGCCTTTAACATAAATTTCCTCAATTTCCTATTGACTCCTCCCACTTTGTTTTTCCTCTCTGCGCAGCAACCCCGAAAAGGCAGACAGATTTTCACCAGACTCCGACTTGTAAAGACGGAAGCAGGAATAAAAGACTCCAATCTCGTTCTTGTCCGCTCATTGCTCGAGGGTCCATTACGGAGCAGAGGACCTTCCGTCCGCGGTCCATAAACCCAACGCCTCGTCCGAGATGGACGCCGAGTTGGTCCAGCTGTTGAGGAAGTCCGAGTTATTTGCGGCTCCGTTCCCCGTGCACCATGTCATTGAAAAGAAACAAGTAGAAAATCCAGAAAGGAAGGAAACCCTACCTCCGAATCCTGGGACGCGTCCCGGTTCGGCGAATCCATGACGCAACGGGGTCCTCGTTGCGACCATCCTCCTGGAGTCCCTCCAAAATCGATTCCAGAGCCATCCGCATAATTATTACACAGTTCCTCGCAATGGCGCAGACCGGGCAAATTCGGTGGGACCTCCATGAACGGGAAGGAAGGAATCGTCTATGGAAATCGGACCGATCGGCCGGGAGAACACAATACACGAGACTTTCACGGACAATGGCGGACTTTTTCACAACATTTAATAAAACGCTATCACTATGTATGCTTTGCTTGTTCCGTTCTGTGTTTTTTTCCCCTTTTGTGTTTTACTCAAATACTCTAAAAGTTATACTTACATACGTGTAGTTTATATGTGTATTTATTTATACGTCGTACGGAGCCGTGTCATGTCCCTCGCGACGCTAGCACCACCTCCACGTGGAATCGCCGAAAGTGATTTCTCGGGTGCGTCCCCGAAACAAAAGGGGTTGCCCCGAAGTTCCCCTAATGTGCGATCCGACGTCGGTTCTCGCCCGTTTCGCAAATCCGGCCTGCAGATGCACCTTGCACGCGCAAGTGCAACGGGCCGGCGAGAGAGGAGCTCGTCGCGACCTCGCTCGGGATCTGACACCATCCGGGATAAATATGTATAAATTTAACGCTACAGCCATATTCGTTATGATTCCTTATGTATAATGCTTCTTTCTCGAATTGATCGTGGGAGCGGCGATCGACCTCCCGGGATGCTAATTTCAAGGTCGGTCCCGATGTGCTCTACGAGGTGCCCTCGGCGAAGACGAGGCGCTGCTATCGGAGGAAATAAGATGCCTTTCCGCATTTCCTCTCCGTCGTCGGCCTACCGTTCGTCCTTAAAGATTCCGAGCTGCGAAAAGAGAACATCGTCAAGACACGGATCGGTCGGAACCTTCGCAAGGAGGATCGGCAACGTTAGATACGAGGATACCGAGGAGTCAAGTGGAATCGAACGCAGAGCGGGGTTTGCCAAGATGGCGGCGCTCACCGGCAACGAGAAATCTCTTAAGACCGTATCGGGGAAGAACGTCGGGAGAAAGTTCGAGCTCTCGCTGGCAATCGTTCCCCAAATGCCTTGTTTTCGAGGAAGAGGGGTTCGCTGAACTTCGTTCAACGTTCATGGTTAAGAAAGAAGGGTAACCTAAACGGTTCGATCTGAACTAAAGGGAAGGAAAACGGAAAGGAGCAAAGGAAGAAAGTAAACGAGGAAACAAAAGAGATCCAGTTTTCTGGCCTGGTCTTTGGAGGTACCCCAACGGAGTACACATGTAAAAACGGCGTCAAATTGACGCGCAATTTTTGGACTTCCCGCGTCAAATAAACGTAATATCAGACCTTGTCGGCGTTAAATTGACGTAAAGTGGACATCGAAGAAACGTCGAATAGACGTCAAACTTGACATCCGATAGACGTCAAGTTTATGTAAACTACGTAATTGCAACGGTCCGTATACGAAGTCGCCACAGACATCAACCTTATGTCAAGTTGACGTAAACTTTAACATATAGAAAAGAAACGTTAAATATCACGAACAGAATGTTAATCTGACGTCAACAGTATGTCAAACGAACGTCAACCGAACGTTAAGAATGAAACACTGGATGTATCGAAATCCACGCGATTTTGACGTCAGATTTACATCCCGTTGGTAATATTTAACGTTTCTCTAGCGTATTCTAGATCTTAAAGTTTACATCAACTTGACGTAAGGTTGATGTTCGTGGCGATTTCGCCAACGAACCGTCGCTGTTACGAAGTTTACATAAATTTGACGTATATCGGATGTCAAGGTTGACGTCTATTCGACGTTTCTTCGATGTCCACCTCGCGAACATTCGGACGTCCACTTTACGTCAATTTAACGTCGGCAAGGTCTGATATTACGTTTATTTGACGTTAACTGTACGTTAAATGAACGTCAACCGAACGTCAAGAATGAAACACTGGATGTATCGAAATCCACGCGACTTCTACGTCAGATTTACATCCCGTTGGTAATATTTAATGTTTCTCTAGCACATTCTAAATCTTAAAGTTTACCTCAACTTGACGCAAGGTTGATGTGCGTGGCAATTTCGCATACGGAGCGTCGCAATTACGTACTTTCGTAAACTTAACGTCTATCGGATGTTAAGGTTGAAATCTATTCGACGTTTCTTCGATGACCACCTCGCGAACCCTCGGACGTCCACTTTACGTCAATTGAACGTCCACAAGGTCTGCCATGACGTTTATTTGACGTCGGAAGTCCAAAAGTTGCACGTCAATTTGACGTCGTTTTTATATATGTGCTCCATTGGGGTAACGATGCATCTTCTTCGAATACGGAAGAGAAACTGTTCGCGCCAAAGGCCCGTAAAAAAATTCTCGCGTGTACATAAGGACGGAGGGATGGAGAGAACAAACGTAGAAAATAAACAATTTGTGCGCCGAAGACAGACTAAACTCTGAAATGAAATGCAATTCGGTTTGTTTCTGGAGCGGAAAGGAACATCCAATTGCGCAGAAAAGTGAAACGCATTTAATATAACGCGAGGAAAGCTCGTTCTTTCTCTACATGGACGTAGGATACACTGCCTGCAAATCCAACTGTTCCCTTGGTATTCTTGTGAAGACCCCAGAACGGAAAGGGGGTGACCGGAACGCCTATTCTTTCGCTCTATCTCTTGCCGTTAGACAGGCTATCGCCATATTGCGCTGTGCAATTATTTCACGTACAAAGTGAAAGAGATGGAAATGTTCGTACACCCTACGTCCATGTTATGTCAATGCTCGCTCTTCAGGGAGGATGCTAGTCTCGTGGAGTTCGCCATTGTCTTGGCGAACTTATCGCGATTATCACATTCTCGTGTCCTCCAGGCTCGGTTATCTTCGTTTAGAATTCAATGCGGTAGGACAAGTTCCGGAAATGAACTTCAAGGCGCTCTTCTAGGGCCCGTGTCGATTTCCCCGGACTCCTGGAATGAGCGGAGTCTGCCCGAGAACGCGGTCTTCGAATCCCTTTTTCTCAAGTATTAAAAGTTAAGGTATAATAAACTGCATTCTAAGCTGATCCCATTTGTTATTTCTTGGTCACAACCTCGTTGAAGTCCTCTCTCGCGACCGCGCCTCTTCTTCGCGAGGGAATCCCGGGGCGACCCCCGCGTCCCTTGGACTCTTCTCCTTTTCGGCGTTTGTTTCTTCGTCTTCGACGCCGATTATTCTTCTAGCCCCGGAAAGAAATCAGCCCACTTAAAAGAACGTCCACCGTACAAAAAACGACACCAATGTCGGCGATGGTGAGTAGATAATTGAATGATTCTCTTGGAACGCCCGTTCCAAGTGTTTTGGACTCGTCCATTATTCGGCGCAGTTTCCTCCGTCGTTGATATCCACTTCCTCCGAAACGAAACGCATTCTTTTCGGAACAAGAAAACGTCCATTAACAATCTCTTGGCAGGTCCATTCCCAGCTTTGGCGTGTATCTCCTCACCGCAGACGTTTATTTCTTTTGTCGAAGAAATAATTTCCTTTGGAACGTCCGCGGAAAGAGAATGTCAGGATTTATCTTGAACGAGCGCTCGGACCACTCCCAGCAGATTTGTTTCCAGCATTCGTACATTTTCCTGGTCTGTTGACGTATTTTAAAGGGAATGTCTCCCTGCTCGTCACGTATTCGGCAATACTCCAATGTAATGCGAACGCTCGACGAAAAACTATCAGCGGGTTCATCGTCGGCTTGATGACCTTCTGGTCTACGTCATCTTCAACCAGCAGTTCAAGGTCAAGTCCTTCGGTAGGTCCGGGAGAATCGGGCAAACCGATTATCAATTTCCTGCGATTGAAACGAAGTAACCGAGAAATCGATAGATCCGTAAGTACGTTAAGTACTTAAAGAAGGATAAACTGCTGGGAAGAAGGGAAGAGAAAATAAAAGAAATCTGTCGTCACTTATCACAACTGACTCGTTGACCTATGCACGTCCTCCCTACGTGAGTTCGCATTGCACTCTTTCTCATTCTTCCGGCATGTCTCTCTGATATCATCTCTCAGGCTCAGTCTCGGTACTCCAACTACCGAAACAAATGCCGCGTTAAACGAAAACAAATCTCGATTTAGCCGTAGGGCGAACACCTTTCGGCAGGAAATTAAGTTCTATTTGCAGTTCAATGGACCGAATGGGTTGCACCGAGACTTCGGGAGCAAGGCCCATAAGTTTCATCCCGAGGACTTTCAGGTCTAGTAGGCCAGGTTCAAATGAACTCAGTCTGGGTAGATCCTGGGATCGACCAGTCCCGTGACCCTCAAGCGCAGGAAATTAAGCTGTTGAAGAGAGGTCCAAGATCCTCGGCGTTCTCCGGGATACCTGAGAGAATCCCCGAAAAACAATCCCTTTCAGCCTCGAGCCTCCAAGAAGTCCTTCTTCGTCTAAGCCGAAACGGTCTCTACTATAGACTTCTTGATGATCTCGCCAAAGTTCTCATCGCACTCCTCCCCATTCTCGGGTTGCTTCTCCGCGACCTCATTCTTCTCGGGTTCGACCTTGGTACCAGGATTCCCATGATACGTCCCGTGGTGTCCAGGATGGGGCTCGACCTCGCCGTAGTACGAGTACCTCCCGGCCAAGAGTTCGGAAAACGGCTCCAGCTTGCCCATTTGCTGAACGACGGCGTGCATAGGCTGCACCGAACTGAGGTTCGTATACTGAGAGCCGGAGACCTCGTCCTGGGGAAACCCGGAAGCCTCGTACGACGTCGCGTGGGCCTGGCAAGGGCCTGGAATCGGGCCGGCGTCCTGACCATAAGCCGCGTAGTGCCCAAACCCTGGAGGGGTTCCCGGTAGTGGTTGGAACTGGGGCTGGAACTGGGACCTCGAGGTCGAGGGCAGGTTCTGGTAACTCTGGTAGTCCTGGTAGCTCGAGGTCTGCTGGAAGGCCACGTTGTGCCCAGGTTGGCCGACTGGAAAGCTCTGAAAGGCCTGACCAAACTCTGGATGCAGTTTTCTCTGGGAATTTTGGGCACCGTCCACTGTGTCCTCGCTCGGGTAGCAGTCGTCCCTGATCGCGTACAGGTCGAGGCTGTCCTCTCGAGCACCCGGAACTTCCGTCTGGCAGGGACCGCTGCTGCTGTTCTCCGGACTCTCGTAGTGCAAAGTCGTGAACCCTCCGCCGTTCACGCATCCCTCGTTGGAGTCCATCATCGAGCCGAGGTTACCCTCCCTGAGAGGGCCCCGATTCGCCTGGTGGTCCCCTTCGTGGTCTCGCTCCTCGTCCCGCTGCTTCTTCTCCAACTCGAGCCGCATCAGCGTATGGATGAAGTGAGTGCGCACCCTCATGGGGTTGAACTCGATGCGTCCGGAGCTGTTTGCACACCCGTCCCGGGAACATCCGCAGGGGAAGCCCGCCCGATCGACCTGAAAATATCGGCCATTGTAAAATCGCACTTCTTGGGACCATTGCAGGCATTACAAAATACACCCAAAGAACGCATGATTCGTATAACGAATGACACCGATGTTTCCTCCGGGTCATTCGTATACCTATAACGGAAACTAAATGTACGTAAAATAAATATCTTATTAAGCTGATTTTATGCAAAGGCTCTTGGTCTTAAATTAATTGGTGCAACGGTTTAGTAGCGCCAATCAAAATCAAATCCAATAGAATAATATTGCATTGAAACAAGTACGGAGAGATTTTATAATCACAAGTTCTAGTAACCGCAAATTTTATCATTAGTACCTATATAGACCGAAAATCACTTTTTAATAAAACCGCATCATTGGAATAGACATACGCATGACAGTGGAAGCTTCGCCAACGTATGTGTATAAATATGCCACATTGTTTCAATTTCTATATTAAAACGAGCATTGTGCAGGGTGCAACAAAATTCGTACCCATGGTTTGCACACTGCAATACTTGTTAAAAAAGAAATCTAAGAGCCTTGTACTATTTATCTTCGGGGCGTAGTGGAATTAATTGTGATAATTAATTGAAAAACATCCAATCAGGTGCGTTGAATAGCGGAACGCTAATCGGAGAGCACGTCGTAAGGCCGAAGCCCTACTGATAAGCGCGTCGAGTGTCACTCAGAGAGCGGCGCGTCAACGCGTCAAAGATAAAAAATCAATCAGAACTGACATACGGGGTTAATCGCACTTGGGATTAGTTTTTCGTCTTTGACGCGCTGACGCACCGCTCTGTGTGAGACAACCGACGCACTTAATGGAATTCCGGCCTAAATTATCTTGTCCATACGCTGCGGGCAGAAAAGTGCAGCTAACCGACGCACCTAATTAGTTTTTTTTTTTTTNTGATATTATGTATTTAATATAAAATTTGTTATACAATTTTTTACTGATGTTTAAATTTCGAGAGCGAGCTAATGTACGTCAGAGAACTCTGACCGAAACCGACCTGACACTTGACGTTGGCCCTGCTGCAGGGGCAGCTCTCGGGGTCGCAGTACCCCTTGCATCCGCACCCGCAGTGTTCCCTGCTAGCCCTGATATCGCGACACTCGTCCTTCTCCACGGCGTCTATCCTCCTGACCCCCGCGGCCCTGAGGAGGGCCCTCCTCTGCCAGGTGGGGACCGGCTGGAGAAAGTAGTAGCTATCGATGTCCAGTTCCTCGTTGTCGCTGGGCTCCTCGTCGGTATCATCGCTGGGATCCTCCGAGCTGGAAGCCGCTTCGGCCGTGCAGTTGGCCGCCCTCTCCGTCCTCAGCTGGGCCAGTCGGGCCCGATGGAGGCGGCGCTGCTCGGCCGCGTGTTCCGTCAACGAGAACCTCTCGGCGTGCGTGTGCATCGCGCTCATACCCAGCGTGCTGCCACCCTGAAGAGACAAGAGATTTAGAAGACGAAAAGGATGCTCTAGGATGTTAAGGCGAAGTGTAGTCAATCGAAACAGTTAAGCTGGCGTGAAAATCGCGTCCAAGGAGTCTTGCCAATGAAGCCTTTCTTCGAACGAGGTGGACCGAATCGGTTATAATTTTATCACGTATATATGGAAGCCATAAGGACAGTCCTGATACCGATGACATTTAATTTTTTTTATTTCGCATTAAGGGCGCTCACCACTCCAGCGATTTTGCAGGGCCTCACGGGGACAACGATTCCGAACGTATTTCTAAGCCGATCGAGCTTAACGAGTGCTCATATCGAAGATGAAATGTTGACCCGTGTTTACATGGGAGCGATTTTCGATAAGTGGTCATTTTCATATAAAAAAGTGCAACGACATAATTTCAATGCTCTTTTACCTAGGAAGGAGGTGCTCGATCGAAAATCGCTCCCATATAAACACACGTCAACATTTTATCTTTAAAACGAGCACTCGTTGAGCTCGATCGGTTGAGAAATACGCTCAAAATCGTTGTCCCCGTGGAGCACCTTTTTCAGGATTTTCGAGTTCCTCGCGAGGAATTAGGGCATTCCTTGGCAACCGTTGCCGACTCTAGGTGGAGCGTCCACCTGGCGTGTGCGGGCGACCGAGGGTCACCCACGTTTCGGCACCTAGTCCAGAGGCATCTAGCCGTTGTGTGAGTCCTACACGTGCAAAATACGCACACAATTTTCGCCCGTTGCTAAACACCACCCATTGTGCGTCGCGTCTCCCTCATCCGAGCGAGAAAGTACGTTTTGGTTACCTCCCACCGAATTCGATGCTAATGCCATCTAGCGGTGGAAGTCATCGTCCCCACTTTAGTGGTGAACGCCGTTAAGGGAACAGCGGAACACTCAGAAGAGGGATAACGAAACCATTACTAGGTATGACGAGTTGTTAACTCGTCACTCGAAGCGCCATCTGGGCAGGACGAGGTAACTCGCCATTTGAAGAGCCATCTGGAGCTCTTACACTACCCATATGGAGGGCGTCTTCGAGTACGAGCGTAACCTCGTCGACGGATCAACGGCGCTACAGTCCCCCACCTGGGAAGGTACGCAGGTGAAGCCTTGAGCCCTGGGGAAGTAGTAAACGGTGACTGCGTCGAACTGGATGCTCCTCTTCTTCTTGGTGTCCTCGTTGTTGGTCCTCTTCGGCGAGGGCTCGCCGTCCGTGCAGTCGGCCAGCCTGCGCTTCAGATTGCTCTTCGGGGGCTCCGGGAAGCACGGCAGCGCCGGCTGCGGGGCTGGCTCCGCGACGCTCGTCACCGGGGAACCCGCGAACCCGGACAGCTGGGGCGCGCCTGTAACCGGGAAACGGAACTGGTCAGGAAGAGCCGGCGTGTCGGTAATCACCTCAGGGTCGATACCCCCCGGCGCATGTCCCCCACCCACCGATCGACCGCAGTCGGTTTAAGGTGAAGTGAAACACGTCGAGGAACTTGATCGACGTCGGTAAAAAAAATTTTTCTTAACACCTACGTTGCCGACGTTGGTTTTTATATTGACAGCTGTGTGTCGAATTATATTCAGTATTGTACTAAATGGCCTACTCCATCTGTGGTTTTTCTACAATAATTATAAAGAAATCTAAGTGAAACTCCAGAAATCCCCTGGATTCATGGTTTCTGAGGCCCCGGTTGACTGCAGAGGGACCCTCTGCGCCATCTGTGATTTCCGTGTATACTAAATTTTCACTCCGAGAGCTCGTATTATCATCGTTTTAGTACAGCGTAAGTCACCTTTTTAGGTGCGTAAAGCTGGCACCCCCACCTTTACAAAATTCAAATTTCTTTGTCTTAACATTTTGTGCTCTTTAGGTGCTAATTATGTGCTACATTCGCAATTCGGCGCTATGATATTCGAATAGCACATAATTTTGGGAGTAATTTAAACGTAAATTGTTTGAACTTTTCCGCGCCATCGGGTACTTACCTCTTGTGGATTTTTGAATGGGGGTAGGCTTTCAAACTTAAGGGTGGAAATTTTAATTTATGAATATGATTTTCGGAGAGCACATTATTTGCTGATAAGTTTTCACCTATTTTTGATTATTTAAACACATTTTTTAATGGTGGGGGTGCTAGCTTTATTAGTACCCAGCACCCCCACAGAAAAATTGAATTTTTTTCCAAAAACCAAGCTAGCACAAAATTTGCGAATGTAGCACATAATTAGCACATAAAGAGCACAAAATGTTAAGACAAAGAAATTTGAATTTTGTAAATGTGGGGGTACCAGCTTTACGCACCTCACTTTTTTGCCTTTATCCCGTTCAAGTGCGAGTTTCTCGATTACCAGAGCGTTTTAAATTGTCGTACAATTGTCCTGACACTTTCGTTTCTCATATTGGAGCCTTCAATAACTGTATATCGATCGAAATATGAGAGTTCAGCGCCATTTTGGTTCTGGGCTAAGTTAAAGAATTGTTTTAAAGAATGGAAATTTTGAAAGTAATAGGATAATTCCTAGGTGCTCACGAGTCACGTGTCAAAGTCTCAGGCGGTTCTATCCAATAGCCTTAAAAAAAAGGTTTCTTATTCGGATCGATTGATTTGAGAGGGGTTTCGCATTAACCTTAAGGGAGATCCGCCGCTACTTCGGATGCGGTACCAGGCTTATCGACGGCTGCAGTTTCCCCCGATCTTTCGGCTCGAGAACGGGACCGTTGAAATGTATATAAAGCTGGAATTGCCACTTTAGCACAATTCAATAAAATTTGTTGCAAATTTTGTTGCTAATTCATTGTTATTTTATTGCATGAGAAAAACATTTTTTGCTCTTATACTTTTCCGAAAAACGGTGGCGATGCAGCTTTATATAAAGCACTGCCACAATGAAAAATAATTATTAAGTAAATGTTCATTGATTAATTATATACCAGAATTTATTGCTAATTAATTGCTTGCAGAAAAACCAAATTTCAATTTTTTTGCTCACCCCTAAAGGGGTGAATCGCCACCCCTAGTGATGATCGCAGGTCAGAAACATGAAAAACATGGGAGAATCGAACTATTTCTTCACGTGGGAATTAATTGCTAATTAATTGCTCCGAGAAGAACCAATATCTTCGTAAAAATACAATTTTCAAACCTACATTAATTAGCGATTAATTCCCACGTGAAGAAATAGTTCGATTCTCCCATGTTTTTCATGTTTCTGTCCTGCGACCATCGTTAGGGGTGGCGATTCACCCCTTTAGGGGTGAGCAAAAAAATTGAAATTTGGTTTTTCTGCGAACAATTAATTAGCAATAAATTCTGGTATATAATTCATCGACGAACATTTACTTAATAATTATTTTTTATTGTGGCAGTGCTAGCTTTATATAAAGCTGACATCGCCGCCATTTTTCAGAAAGGTATAAGAGCAAAAAATTGTTTCCTTGTGCAATAAAATAGCAATGAATTAGCAACAAATTTTGCAACAAATTTTATTGAATTGTCCTAAAGTGGCAATTCCAGCTTTATATAGATACCGTTGAAGCCGTTCCGGGGTGATCGCCCGACTCAAAGGGACCAACCGATCATGCAAATATTTCTATTATCGTACATTGCGGTTTCCTCTGTCTGGAAATGGTCCCCCTGGGGCGACGAGTATCGAGGAAAAGCGCGTCCTAGACGGTCCCGTACCCTGACCTCGAGGCGGAAACCGAGGTCGATAAGCCTGGAAAAAAAGGCGACTCGGGGGAGATTCGAACCTTTCTCCTTGTCCGTGAGGATGTCGTCGGGTATCCTGTCCAGGAAGGAGGTCTCCGAGTCGCTCTCGGGGGCAGGCGCGGGCCCGGAGTCCCCGGGCATCTCGCTGCCGAGGCCGGAGTCGCTGCCGTCCGACCTGACCTCGTCCCTAGCGCCCGCGGCGAGGGCGAGGCTCTCGGCGGAGTCCTCGGTGAAGGCCTCGGGCCTCTCCGGCTCGAGCCTCGTGATCATCTCCCCGGAAAGGTCGTCGCAGCTGAGACGGTCGCTCTCGGGACAGGTGATGGTGTCGGCGATGACCTCGTCGCAGTCCATCCTGGCGATCGAGGCGACCTCGGAGCTGTCCGAGCCGGTCTCCGTCTCGGTCTCCGTGTCGACGAACTCCTGCGGTTCGCAGGAGTCGCTGACCTCGTTGAGCTCCTCCGGAGAGCCGGGGCCGCCCTGGGCGGGGTCAAAAACCCGAGAGTCCTCGGCGGGCTCCGAAGACATCGACGCCGAGCCCGAGGTCGAGGTCGAGGGCGAGGTCGAGGGCGAGGTCGGCGGAGCTAATACTGCCCCGGGGGTCGCGTTCGCGTCCTCGACGACGGCTTTGGGGGCGGCCGAGGTCGAGGCGGCGGAATCGACCGTCTCCTCGTGGTCGTTCTCCAGCCTGTGGATGACCCTGCGGTTGTTCCCGAGGTCGGCCTCGAGCGCGAGCTCCTCGTTCTCCCCGAGTCTCTCGACGACGATCTTGCTCCTCCTGGCGGAGGGACTCTCGTCGGCCGATCTCAACGAATCTCGCCTTTCCTTACCTCTGTCGGGGGTGACCTCGACCTCGGTCTCGCGGGATCGACTCTCCGACTGACAATTGGCGCCGGATTTGAGATCCGCCCCGGGAGCGCCCTCGGATTTACCGGCGACTTTCGCGTCCGGCGAGGTCGAGGACCGGGTCGCGTCCCCGGCGACGTTCACTCGCGATAACACCACCACTAGTTCCTTCATCGCCACGACGTTCGAGTCCTTCGGACTAGCCTCGACCTTCCCGGGTCTTTTGACACCTGTGGGTCGATCGTGGGGAAGACTTTCGGTTTTGAGTCGCATATCGAGGTCGCCGGCAGACGTCGAATTTTTCTCACGAAGTCTTCGAGTATCCGACAAGCTCGAAGACCTCGATCTCCTGGGCTCCTTGACCGGGGTCTGGCCTAGGTTCTGCTTTTCTAACTTCCGCCTTCCGGATCTGGAGTCCACGGGGCGAGAATCGTCGACCTTGGAACAGGAAACCGGAGACTTTGGCGACTCCGCGACATCCCCCGAAGACGACGAGGACGACCTCCCCGGATTTTCTTCAGCGTTCGAGGTCTCCTTTTCGACCTCGGTCTCGATTTTCCCCGTTCTCCCTGAGTCGTCGACCGAATTCTCGCTCGGCTTTTCGTTCGTCCTATCGATCGACCTCTCCTCAAAGATCCTCGACTCCGGGGTCAGGGAAATTTCGCCCAATGTCCGTTCCCTCAAACCGACCAACACGGGCGACAACCTCCGGACGTCATTCATCAGCTGTTTGGCTCTCTCCTCGGAGACCTCGATTCCAATCTTCTTGATCTCCGGGCTGATAGGCAGGAAGTCGCTGGCCGGCCTCTTTCTGGGTGAAGGTCCTCCCGACGCTGACCTGGCCACGTGGCAGATCTCCAACTGCTTTTCGAGTCCTTCCGTCAAAGGTTGGGCAGCCTTATCGAGGTCGGCCTGTAAGATGGGGTTTCCTAACGTTGCATCCGTTCTCGAGGGCAAAGGTGGATCTCCCAGAATCTCCTTGAAGCTCTCCTGTGTTTCCGAACCTGCATCGACCTCATTTGCTCGACCTTGACCCTCATCTTTGTCTTTTCCGACCACCTTCTCGTTGTCCTCATTCGTTGGACTTTCCCGGCATGTTTCCTCCGAAGTAAGGTCCTTCGGATCAACCGTGGATTCCTCCAACCTCGATCTTGCTTCAACGACCTCGCGGGATGCGCTTCTCGTCCAGGGGGGCGAAAACCGAGGACTCTCCCCTTCGGAAGTTTCCTTTTCGCTTCTAGAGGTCGTCGTCGTCGCCGATCTCGCCGGTGACCTCTCCGAGACGGACTCCTTGAGTAAGGGCGACTCCGTGCTTGCCGTCCTAGATGACGACCTCGTTACTTGACGAACCTCCGATTGCTTCTCGGAGACCTCCGATCGATCGACCTCTCCGAGGTCGAGCTGTTCGACGGAGTTCTTCGGATCCGGAGACCTCCCGGAATGCGAGGTCTGACCTTCCGAAACGTCCGGACGATCCTCCAAAGTCCCCGGATGCGTTTCGGCATCTCGACCTCGACCTCGATTGTCATCGTTCACCTCCTCCTCCTCCTCCTTCGGCGAATTTTCTCGACACCCCTCCTGAGGCATCCTCTTCTCGAGGTCATCCGAGCATTTCTCCGACCTCGACCTCTCCTCGGCGGCCTCGCGACTTCTCGTCCACGGGGACGAAGGCTTAGAGGTCCCCTCCTCGGGGGACTCCTTCTCGTTCCTGGAATTCGACGTCCTTGTCGACCTCGTTGGCGGCGTCGGGGACCTCACCGGGGTGGCATCCTCGGGAGCCTCGACGAGTTGCCCCTGGGCCAGCGGCGACTCCATCTCGAGCTGTGCTTCGACCTGAGACAAAGCGAAGAAAACAAAGAACTTTGAGCTCATCCCCTGACCTTACAATGCGTTGCCTTATTTACCTTAAGAAAAGCAACTACTCGCGAAGAAAAAGATAAAACGCGAAGGTATAAATAAACGGACCTTCCCTCTTTTTTGCCCAGGCTCGTGATAATACACGAAGGTTCCCTGCTCTTTCCTTATATATTTCCCTCTTCGGGAAAATATGACGAAGGAGCGGAGGAGGTCGGAGGATCAATAATCCGAGCTCCGACAAAAGCGAGCTTTGGGATAGGACGCGAGAAGGGAAGAAAAGCCTTAAAAGGGAGGTTAATTAAAAATTTGAAAATCCAGCCTGCGTCCAGCAGTCGACCTTACTAACCATTCCCATCCGGTCGACCTTAAAATTTCAGGAGGGAGACCGAAAAGTATGAGAGGAAAAAATGACGAGATTATTCGATCGGTGGGAAAAGGACGACGGAATCTTTTTAACGTTTCGTCCCGATTCCGGTGGAGCGGAAAAATGCTTCGCCGAGGTTTTCCTTAAATATTTCCCCCTTCAGGAAAATATGACGGAGGCACGGAGGAGGTGGGAGGATCAATAAGCCGAGCTCCGGCAGCGGGCATGTGGGGGAGCAAGGAGGAAAGTCAATTTCCAGGAGAGAAAAGGCGAGTTTTCCTCGGGACCGTGTCCAGGGATTCGGGGTCGGGCAGGACCTCGTCCTCCGAGGACGCTCAGGATTTAGCGACCTCGCGGTATAATCCCGTCCCAGGTTATTGATTCCGGGGACGACGCGGGGGCGGTCTCGCGTTACCATGCGCACCTGCGACCTGACCTAGAAGGGATCGATCGGGCGATCGGGTTGACCTTAATCGAAGAATCGGAAGAATTGCGGTGAAAGGATCGGGAAATACCGATCCCAGGAATCGGAGAGCAGGAGTCGCGGGATTCTTTATCCCGCGGAAAGGAAGTCCTCGTGGAATGAATGGTTGAGGTGAAAGCGAAATTGCGAGCAAAGGGTCGAGGGAGGTCAGTCCCGACCAAAGAACCAGAATGCGCTCGGACCGAAAGTTAAAAAGTGGTTGCTGGACGAACACGGAAAATTGAATGGAAAATTCAAAGGAATTAGTCGAAAGTCGGGGAGACCTCGACGAGGGGTTCGGGAGGTGAGGTCGATCTTATTCAAAGGATCTTTACCTTCAAACCGACGCCCGAGGATTCTTTTTATGGAAGTTCCCTTTCCTCGGCTCCGTCGACGAGGTCGACTCACCCGCCATTCCCTTCGAAGACCTTGGCCTCGTCCTCGAGGTCCATCGGCGTACCACGGGGCGACCAGATCCGAGGATCATCGAAGACCTCGCGGAGGACATTCGAGTCCTTGCGATTCGGGACATCGACCTCGAGTTACCTCTTACGCTCTTACAGAGGATCGAGCGCAAGGAGCCGATCGCGATTCGGAGGTCGAGGTCACTTTAAAAACTGGGATCGAATTTTTAAGGCCGGCCTCTCTTCGAGGTCGGGGTCTGGGGTAACGCAACAGAGAGAGGCGGAAACTTGGACGAAGATCGATATCGCACAAGGTCCTCAGAGTTCCAGGCGGAACTTTTGGAACGATCATTTGGATAACCTCGGAGAGGTCGGATAATTTAGACCGGCGCCACCACGAGGAGGTCGCGCCTGACGTTCAACATGGCCAACTCCGTCATTCCGACGAAACCGTGTTGGACTGCCCTCGGTGAAGCGATCACCAAGGGAGTTACCGCCTCCAGGATCATGGAACTAAAGGTCCAAGTACCCGGAATGAAATCACCCGGCAACTGGCGATCCGACAAACTGTACGAAGGACCTCGTGGAAAGAAGACTCGGAAAAGAGTCCTCCACGGACCTCCATGAGCCTGGTGACAACATGGAACCCGCCAACTTAGAGGTCTCCTCGACTTTCGGCAAAGAACAACGTTGCGATCCCGTTCCCGCGATCTCGTCGACCTTACTGACTGCGAGGAAGACCCGAGAGAGGTCGACGATCTTCCGAAGCGATACCGGGAGTACTCGCGAGGAAAGCTCCGCACAGGAAGCCAAGGTCCCGAAGAGGACCCTGAAGAAGATCTCGAAGACCCTGAAGAGGTATCCTCGGCGCCTCGCAGAGGTCGAAGTCGTACAAGAACCTGTGCCAGACTTCGGAAAGGCTCGAATCAACGATCCTGAGGGTAACGAGATGCTCCGACGAGGAACCGGCGGGAAGAAGAGCCTGCGTTCGCGTTCACCGGCTCGCAGTGGAGTGGAGCCGGCGCGTCCTGGACCAGCGTTCTCGAGGGCGCAGGTGGCGCCGATGGTCGCGTCGGTTGGGGGTGGCAAAAGCGGAGGAGGCGGCAGAGACGGCGTGGGTGGTGGAGGCGGTGGAAGCGACATAGGCGAAGGGGAGTCGGGGGCGTCGAAGGCGGTGGAGACGCCGGAGTTGCCGCGCAATTGCCCCCACGACGCGTTTGCGTTTACGTCGGCTAGCGCCTCGTGCAATCGAACACGAGTGCACCTTGAAAAAAAACAATCCATGAAAATTTGCATACATTTTTACCCCCTACATACCTAAAGTTTTACGTAAAATAACGTAAAATGGAAAAGTTACTAATCTGAGAATGTATAAATGCCCGTGACACTGTATGTTTTCTGCATTCCCGCAATAAAATGTAACGTTACGTTGTAATTTTTCTGGAGGCATGTAAGACCTTTACCGTGGATGCAAATCTACAGGTTATTTAGTAAATTTATATATTGATGCGCATAAATATCCGCTGCTGGGTAGAAATACATACCAAGCGAAGTGAAATATTAAAAAATGCACATCTCTGTATTAAATGTACCAATCGGTTTCGTTCATAGCTTAAAAAATGCAGAAAAATCGTCCACTCTCGATGACCTCGTTAAAGTTGACTTTACTCATTCAAGAGGTTCAAAAAACAACATTCATTGTCCAATTTGACACGCCAGGCTGACCATCGCAGATAATGACTAGGTCTGAGTTTCTTAATTAGGATCCGAACTTACAAGGAAGGTACCCGAGGTGTCCCCCTCCAATTTTGTTCATTTTTAAATATGTTGTAGAGGACTAAAATCTGAGGGGCTCGTGATTTTTTTTATCGGCGGGTAAACACTTTTAGGGGGTGAAATCAGGCTTCAGGGTTGGCCGTGCAAGGGGGTGAGTTGGCTGTTTCATATAGAATCACTCGACCGATTTTCATGAAACAACCGTCAAAATGTAGGGAATGAAGAATTATGAAACATGCATTTGGAATTTTTCGAAAAAATTCATTTTTAAGGGGTGAGCTACCCCTTTGAATACTTCTTTTACCCCTTACGCGAGCAATAATTGTTCTATCCAAATGAAACTTTTTTTGTATTGTTCTGGTCTATAAATTAACCAAGTTTCATATGGATAGAGCAATTACTAGATATTACCCAGACAATGTAATTCTACCGTTATTAATTGTCGTATAAAAATAACCAATGATCTAGGGTTTGAATTTACATGTTTAATAAGTATATATCTGGGTTAACATATGAGGCCCATCAATATAATCACCGATTGGAAGATTACCCCTCAGATTTACATATATAATGTGGATCAATTATACATTTTACATGACAAATTACACTTGATACGTAATATTACCCTTTACGTTTACATATCAAATGTCCGCCTCCAATACATTCCATGGATAAACTTAGATGCCGAATGTGATATTACCCAGACAATGTAATTCTACCGTTATTAATTGTCGTATAAAAATAACCAATGATCTAGGGTTTGAATTTACATGTCTAATAAGTATATATCTGGGTTAACATATGAGGCCCATCAATATAATCACCGACTGGAAGATTACCCCCCAAATTTACACATATAATGTGGACCAATTATACATTTTACATGTCAAATTACCCTTTGTACGTAATATTACCCTTTACGTTTACATATCAAATGTCCGCCTCCAATACATTCCGTGGGCAAATTTAGATGCCGAATGTGATATTACTCAGACAATGTAATTCTACCGTTATTAATTGTGGTATCAAAATAACCAATGATCTAGGGTTTGAATTTCCATGGGAATTTTTTTCAGGGCACCCTGATCGCCGCAAGCCGGGAATGCACGTGCATGCCGGATGCACATCCACTCCACCCTGAAGGGGGTCTAACTTCCGGGCAAAAACGCGAATTGGATCGTCGTTCAATTCGGTTGTGTGAACCTGGAATCCAGTTCGAGGCACAAATAAAATTAACAGGATTATTCGAATGTTTCCGTGATGTAAACGTTTGTCCCATTTATTTTTTTTTTACAAACACTAATTAAAAAAAAGTAACAAATTCCGAAAATTACCATTTTATCGTTTTCGAGGTTCCGGGAGGCTCTGAATTTTCCCAGCTGTCAGGGCCAATCCCTATCGGTTTCCAAAAATTTTTAGCATAAGTACTCCCCGCGATTTACTTGTACAAATTAATGCAACCCACTGCGAGAAGCCTAAGCCATGGAAAGAAAATCATGAAAATGGTCATTTTAACGTTTCCGAGGTTCTAGGAGGCTCTGCATTTTCCCAACGTCAGAGAACCCATTAATGTTGAAGAATCGGAATTTGTTTCTCTTTTTGAACAGCTCTGGTTCTTGTAAAAAAAAAAAAATACCACAAAAAAAACTCAATGTGACACAGACGTCTATATCACGGAAACATTCCAATAAGCCTATTAATTTTGTTTGTGCCTCAACCTGAATTCCAAGTTTACACAGTCATTCAATTTCTCCACATGTACAGGGTTGATAACTTAAGGTAAAGTGAAACACGTCGAGGAACTTGATCGACGTCGATAAAGAAGATTTTTTTAAATAGCTACGTTGCCGACGTTCGTCTTTATATTTACAGTTGTGTCGAATTATATTGGGTATTGCATTAAGTGGCATACTCCACCTGTCGTTTTCGTACAATAATTATAAAGAAATCGAAGTAAAACTCCAGAAAT